CTCTCTCTCTCTCTCTGCCTGCCTCTCTGCCTGCCTGGGATCTCTCTCTGTCAAATAAATAAATAAAATCTAAAAAAAAAAAAATCTTAAAAAAAAAAAAGAAGTAATGATTGCCAACATGCCATTTCTCCCTGGGTTGGATAACTAATCCACAAAACTGACATCTCAGAAGAATATAACTAATCCCATGGAAATTTATATCCCAATCCCCATCTCTGTATTTGTATCTCTATCTTTATATTTGTATCTCTATCTATATATGATGTACCATACTCAGATATTTATACCCACTAACAGAGACGGTGACTATTCTTTCTGCAATGTTCTGCTTGTTACGTAACTCAATGATCCCTTAACACAGAGGATAATAACAATCTCAAGAACTTGCTAAATCAAAACTCCTTATGTTGGCTCTTGGAGGGATTTCACATAACAACAGCTGGGCATCTTAGGAAACTAAGGATTTGTTTTGATTTCATGTTGATTCAGAAGGAGGTATTTAATTTCCCACATTGCCATGAGGTTTTCCTCTGAACAACACATTATTACACTGTAGTTTGCCAAGGCACAGCATTGCATTGCTTTGCTTTCCACATGAGAAAACTGAGGCTCAGATGCTAAATTACTTGTAAAGCTTCACTTGGGGGAAAGGAGAGTCAGAACGGGGTTCCAAATTCAGTGTTGTCATTATAGTATTTCCACAATTATTCCAGGGCGCCTGGGTGCCTGGGTCGGTTAAGCATCCGACTCTGGATTTCGGCTCAGGTCATGATCTCAGGGTTGTGGGATCAAGCCCCAAGTCAGGCTCTGCCCTCAGCGGGGAGTCCCCTTGAGATTCTTTCTCTCCCCCTCTGTCTGCCCCTCCCCCTGCTCTCTCTCTCTCTCAAATAAATAAAATCTTAAAAATAAAATACAAGGGGCGCCTGGGTGGCTCAGTGGGTTGAGCCCCTGCCTTAGGCTCAGGTCATGATCTCAGGGTCCTGGGATCGAGTCCCGCATCGGGCTCTCTGCTCGGCAGGGAGCCTGCTTCCCTCTCTCTCTCTCTCTCTCTGCCTGCCTCTCTGTCTACTTGTGATCTCTCTCTGTCAAATAAATAAATAAAATCTAAAAAAAATAAATTAAATAAAATAAAATACAATACAATAAAATAGTTCCCAATCTGGTACATGCCTTTCCAAGATATTTGTTTTTAAAACACTCTTCCATCTCTCTCCAGTGTGGTAAGAACAGAGGACCTGCAAATGTTTGTCTTATTCTCAAAATCTTCTGGCTCTCCCATAAAGTTTCTTCAGTTACTCTGGGCCCCATTGTTCCCTCTCTTCTTGGAATATATAGTAACAGAGGGTTGCTTAGAAACTTAGACCTTTCTGGATTCAGAGTCCAGAGTGCTCACCATTACACCACGGAACTCCCAGGAGCTTAGACCTTTCTGATGCTGGAACCCTCACTAGACAAGTGGTCATCCGGTTTGTGTTTTAGTATCTCCAGTAATTGACATAACCTCCCGAGACAGCTAATACTGCTGAAGTGATTGTTTTCCCACTTAGGTAGATCCAAAATCTGTCTCTTTGATATCATACATTGTTGTTAATTTTGTCTTCTAGGGATTCACAAACCATGTGTAATTTATTTTATACATTAAAAAAAGCCTTCAGATAGTTGACGTGTGTGCGTGGGTGTGTGTGGGTGTGTGTGGGTGTACAGTGTGGGGAAGAGGTCCAATTTCTTCTTTTGTTAAACAGATGCTCTGTTTTCTATAAATGGAAAAATCCATCTCTACTTTGACTTATCCTCTAACAAGTACCATGTATACAGGATTCTCTTTTGGACTTTCTCTTCTGTCCCCCCTGCCTTAGATATTTGTCTCCATACCAGTGTCACGTCATGTTATTGCTCTGGCTTTATAGTGAGTTTTTATATCTAGAAATGCATCTCCTTCTCTGGTTCTTCTGGGTTGACTTGACTATTTTTGGCCCTTTAAACTTCCATAAACATCTTAGAATCAGCTTTTCAAGTTACACACACATACCACAATATCTCTGAGGATTTTTTGAATTGAGATTGCACTGAGTTAGTGAATCTGTTTGAGGAAATTAATCTCTTAATTCTTCTGAATTCTCTAATTCATGAAAAAAGCATATAGCGCCATTTATTTAGGTTCTTTGGAAATGTTCTTCAATAAAATTTTATAATTTTCTTTTTTAACTTTTTTTTTTAATAGGGCTTGGTTCTTGAATTCATGACCCTGAGATGACTAATATATTTGACTGAGCTGAGATCAGAGTTGTGCTTAGCCAGCTGAGCCACCCAGGCACCCCCAAATTTTATAATTTTACTCATAAAGTTTGTACTTCTATTTTTTTAATTTACTTTTTTAAAGATTTTATTTATTATTTATTTGAGAGAAAGAGAGAGAAGAGGGGAGGGCACAAGCAGACTCCCTGCTGAGCACAGAGCCCAATGCAGGGCTCAATCTCACAACCCTGAGATCATGACCTCAGCCAAATTCAAGAGTCAGATGCTTAACCAACTGAGCCACGCAGGCGCCCCTGTACTTTGATTTTTTTTCAGGTACTTAATAGTTTTTGGTGTTTTATAACTGATATTTTTTTCTTTTGAGAGAGCAAGAATGAGTGTAGGGGAAGGGGCAGAGAGAGAGAGAGAGAGAGAGAGAGAGAGAGAATCTTGAGCAGGCTCCATGCCCAGCACAGAGCTGACACAGGGCTCCATCTCACAGCCCTGAGATCATGATCTGAGTCAAAATCATGAGCTGGATGCTCAGTTGACTGAGCCACCCAGTGTCCCACTAAGTGATATCTTTTTAAAAACATTGCTAGAAATGGAAGATCATAGCAAAATATGCAAATCCTAAGTGTAGAACTCAATGAATTGTAAAGTGAACTCCTCTGGGTTCCTACTGCTGGATCAGGACCTGTATCCCAGAGTCACATCTCATGTCCTTGCCAGTCATACTCTCTCTTTCCTCCTCAAAGGGAACCACCATCTTGACTTCTAACACTGTAGTGTAGAACTTTGTATAAACTAGATTATACATAATGTAGCCTGTTACTTCCAGCTTCTTTGTTTAATGTCTTCTGTGTGTGATTCACACACATTGTTGTGTGTCCTGGCAGATTGTTCGTTGATATCCAGCATTCCAGCACATGGATATATGACAATATATTTATCCATTTGACTGCTGGTGAATGATTCCACTGTTTCCAGTTTAGAGCTATCCAACGGAGCTGTGAATATGCTTGTGGATATATTTGGTTCACATGTTCATGTTTTTCTGTTGAGTCAATTGTATGCACATGTTCAACTTTAGGCAATAATGCCAAACCATTTTTCAAAGGATTTACACCAGTGTGTACACTCACCAGCTGTATGAGACTCTTCTGGATGTCCACCAGCACATGGCTCTGTCAGTCTGTGCTGAATAAAAAATACCAGGTAGCTTGAAGCAGAAATCATTATTTTTCATGATTCTGTGGGTTTGCTGGCCTCACCTGGGCATTGTTTCTGCTGCCTATTATGGCCTGGGGTCATTCATATGGTTGTATTCACTTGGAAGCGCGGTTGAAAGAGAAGACCCAAGATGGCTTCATTCACACATCTGGTGCTTGGGCTGAGGTGGCTGAAACAGCTTTGGGCTGCCTCGACCTCTGTTTCTCCATAGGGTCTCTCATTATTCTGTAATCTAGCCCATGCTTATTTACGCGGCTGCTAGATCCTAAGCATACAAAAAGACAAACTGCAAATCTTCTTAAGGCCTAGACCCAGAAGTAACACATCTTCACTTTATCAACATTCTTTGGTCAAAACAATGAACAACTGAATCTTGTTAACAACCATGTGAAAGAGCTTCAAACCCTTCAAATGAGCCTGGAGACCTAGCCAATGCCTTGAGTGCAGCCTTGTGAGAAACTGAAGCAGAAGTACCTGTTATGGCCTTAATCGTGCCCCTCCCCCCAATTTCATGTTGAAGCCCTAACCTCCACTCTAACTCTATTTGGAGACAGAGTGTATAAAGAAGTCATGAAAGTTAAATGAGGTTATAAGGGTGGAACCTTAATCCAATAGGACTGATATTTTTATTAGGAGAGGAAGAGACACCAAAGATATCTCTCTCTCTCTCTCTCTCTCTCTCTCTACTCCCCACCCATCACACCTGGTGTGCACAGAAGAAAGGCCTTGTAAGAACACAGAGAGAAGGTGCTATATACAAACCAGACAGAGCAGTCTCATTTGACACCGGCCCTGACAGCACCTTGATCTTGGCCTTCTAGCTTCCAGAACCATGAGAAAACAAAATTCTGCTGTTCAAGGCATTTAGTTTGTAATATTCTGTTACGGCAGCCCTAGCAGACGAATTATGTACTCTGCTATGCTCTGTGTAGATTCCTGACCCACAGAAACTGCGAGATAATAAGGATTTGTTGTTTTGTGCTATTAAATTTTGGGGTCACTTGTTATGCAGCAATGGACAACTATTATATTAGCCTAAGTTTGTTCTCTCTATACTCTTTGTGTCCTAAAAAGACAGACAGGGGGAGTGCCCTTTTTAAGCCCTTCAAATTATTGTTTTCCAGGGAAGAAAAAGTATTCCTGGCTGGCACAGAATTGTTCCCATTTCTGAGTCATTTTCCCAGCAAAGTGAAAAACAACCCTGGTTTAGATCCACATTTGGGTGTGAACGCATGAGGACAGAGTAAATTGCAATGACTTGGAGTTCATGAACTCCCTTTGCATATTTGTATGGATTTTTCCTCCACGGAGATGTACATATACATCATTTGCTATAATTTTTTCTCTGTAAATATAGAGATGTGAATGAATGGCTACAATTATATGATTCCTACAAGGACAACATTAATATACTGAATGTTTCTAGGTGATCATCATTAAGCATCTATTGAAATGAACCTATATTTCTTAGGGCTGGAAGAAAATAATTTGCTGAGATGTCAGCAGGGGATCCTTCTAGAAAAACCTTGGAAATGGAGTGCTTCCACACAAGATTCAGTGCCTGGACACCTTTTGGCAACAAGTTATTGAACAGACAGGTAAGTTACATACTCTAGAACAAAACAAGGTTAATTTGTAAGGCAATTTTACCGTGATAAATTGGGTCTCATGTTGCCATATAAAACAACAACAACAAAACCTCTAAAGAATTTAGTGTTGGGGTCACTTCAAACAAGAGTAAACCTGCATTTGTCTGCACCAAAGACAGTCTCTTCTCACCTCAGTCCCCAACTCCTACTTTATGGGGAAGCTCAAGGTCTGCCTCCCTTTTCCTCTGTACCTCCAGGGACAAAATAGAAGCCTCCAGAACACACAGTATGTTGGGGGAGAGACAAGAGGAGCTGCTTTTGGTGGTATTTGGTGTGGAGAGTATTAATGTGTAATTAATTCTCTGCATATTTCTTTAATCCTGTCTTCTTTCCCGTGCCAACAGTTAGTTTGATGGCCTGGGGATGCCCACTCCTATGAAAGGTAGTTAGTAAGTCACCGGATGGCTTAGGCAGCCCTTAATGGAGAAGGCTGACAGCAGATGTGGGTTCAGTCCTGTTCCCAAGGGAAGGAGACTAGCCGGGCTAGGGCCCAAGCCTGACTCAGGAAGAAAGCCAGTAGGTTTGTGTATATCATCTGAGCAAAGCTGGACTGAAACCTAGATTTGGCGGGGCGGGGTGCTGTCCTTGGTGTATCTCTTCCTTAGAAACATGTCTAACAATGGCTACTTAGCAATATTTATTAACTTTCTTTTGGTAGGAACTGTGAGGATGTAGGACTGTGGGTTAGTAAAATCACACCTTCTTCGAATGGTCCCATTTTCACAATCCAAGTGTAGCCTGTATGTGTTTTCATGATGAAATGTTTGGAATCTGTTACCCCAGGCCACATTCGTTTAGGTAGAAACAAGAGCCAGGATTCATTACCACTTTGTTTTCCAAAGGGGCCCTCCTAAGGACCCACTGTAATTACATCCCCTGACCAGCCTTTCCCACCAGCCCACCCAACAAGCCTGGGCTTGTCTCCATCCCCAGATAAAAGCAGTTTAAGCTGAAGGGACAGACCCCTACTACGTAGTGAAAAGGGCTTTGTGAACTGTAATGTGTTGTGCAGTTATTAGCTGTGAGGTTGTGAGATGGCCTAAGGACTGTTTAGCAACTAAGAATAGATTGAACTTTACAGGAAAGTGATATTTTCTCCCCCTTACAGCTCTTTCAGGAAAGAGTTGCTCTTATAAGTCATTGGTTTGACCTCTGGACTCACAAGCAACGTCAAGAATTCTTGTTCACGATTTTTTTACGATGCACCAAATCACAGTTAAGGTAAATGTAGCCTAAGGATGCAATTAGCATGGGTTCTGAAAGGAAATAAAATCTGGTAAAATGTTTATCTAACCTTCTAGGGTTTCTCCCCTCCCCCCCTCCCCAAAATAACAAATAAAGCAATTGGCATTTTAAAGTTTACAGACAGAATCTTCTAGTGCTGCTTCCTCCTTAAGGATGAAATGGAAACTTGGGGGCTTTCACACCTTCCTACCGCAGTGGGATATTTGGTTTTTGTAAACATCAGAAGCTTCAGCCAGTGAATTTTTAACATTCCCTTACTATATTGGATTCTCCTCAGAACCATCAGACAGACAAACAATATATTTCAAGTAGATATCTGGCACATAGGCAGTCCAAAAATAATTGTAATTGTAACACGAAAAGATGGATCTGAAAAATACCCAAGGAGTGACCATGGTAGCAACATTTAGGAATATGCACGAGACTCGTATTGCAGTGGCCGTGATTGCCAGTGGGTCCTCGTTCTTATTCCTGCCCTGGCCTCCCGTAGTGTCTGCCATTTGCTTTCAGATACTCCAGCAGAGGTGGTGTGCTATTTGAAAGCGTTGGTTGAAATTACATGCAAGAGCAGCTACCGTTTTGATCAGGAATTAATACTCTCAGGGTGGTTAGCTAGCATTGTATTGGAAAGGTCACAATGTCTCAGTTATTACAAGATACTTTGCTAATGAGCAGAGCCAATATCAGACATCAGTTATCATCAGAACAGCCAGCGGCTTGTTCATTTGTCAGAGGAATGTTAGAAATGGAGAAATTAAAGGTATTCGGATGTGGGATGGAAAATGTTCGGGAGAGCCCTCCAACATGCCTGGGCCTGGTTGAGGAATCCAGCCAGCCTGGTAGCAGGTGCTTATAGGGCTTTATCCCCAGGTAAATGGCCTTGTCAGTCTAGGGATTTCTGGTAGCCTGAGGCTCTCAAGGAGGGTAATAATGGAATCCCGTTTCTAGAACACTGTACTTTCTCAGTTGAGTAAACCTTTGCCTAAAGGACAGTTAGCCGGGACTTCATCGAGCCCATGGAGGAGACTGTATGGAGTGGTTGGGGCTTGTTTGCTAGGTTTGTTTAGGGAAATTCTGGATATGGCATCATTTGGGGTTAGCTGTTTTTAGTACAACCTTGTGGTAAGGTTGTAACCATTGAACTTCTTAGGTAGCTTCCAGAAAGTATCAGAGTTATGCAAAACCAAATTGGCTTATTTTAGTTTGCAATACCTGCCTTGCACTCTTTCTCACACTTCCTTTATCTCGCTCTTTCAATCAGCCATTTCATCTCTCCTACCTGTTTGCTCGTCTTCTCCCTCGTCTGCTTTCTCCTGCATCCGGGAGTGCGTGGTGGGTCACTAACAGACTGGCCCTGATGGAGTCACCAGGTTACTGGAAGCAAACAGACACCTTCCTGGCTGTGTTGAGAGAGGCTGCAACGACAGGCCACAGAAAAAAATAGGCTCTTTCGTCAATGCTTAAAAATCAGGGAAGGGAACTTTTCATAGCAGTCATTGGCTAGGTTTCCTTTTACTCCAACTTTACAGCTTTCAAGATAAAATAACAGACCGAAACCCAAATCTGTAATTGCTTGTGGTACATCATGTCCTAGTCTCATGTATCATAAACCACGCAATTTTAGCTGTAACCACTGGAGGTCATTAGAGATCGCGTGGTGTATTTTGAGGCTCATTAACATCAGGCCTGACATTTTGTCACTGGAAACTGTATCCTTTGTCTGGTACCTGAATTCTTTCTATGGCACAAGGATATGGAACTAATCTGTTCAGTGGAATTACTTCGCTCTGTTCTGTAGCAGCTGGCTTTCTGCAGAGAGCTGTCTACCGTAGTTGCACGAAGCTATAATTCCATATTTTTTTTTTTAGAAGTTGTGTCAATTTCTGGTCTCTAGAGCTGGCATCCTGAAGCCAGCTCTGACTTGTAGTGGTGGACTTTGTTGTTGAACATCAATTAGTTTATTCCCCCAAGTCCGGATTAGGTCTTTCTTCTCCTACTTCCTCCCCATCTCTCTGGGTCAGCCATGTCTTCTCTCCTGCCAACATTTACAGAAACCATTTACCGATAGTCTAACCCAGTTTGAGTTGTGCTTGATTTTGGTTAAATCTAAAAGCCCAATTCATTTTATTTTTTAAAGTTAGTGCAATCAAATTCCTTTTAAACATCTTTATTGAGATATAATTCACATAGAGTAAAACTCATCATTTAAAATGTACAGAGTTAGTGGTTTTAGTGTATTCACAGAACTGTGCAACTATGACCACACTCTAAGTTTAGATCATTTTCATCACCCCAAAAAGAAACCTGCTACCCATTAGACGTTAACTCCGCATCTCCAACCCCAGTGCTGGGCAACCACTAATCTACTTTCTGTTTCTATAAATTTGCCTTTTCTGGACTTTTCAAATAAATGCAGTCTTAAAGCATGTGGTCTTTTGTGACTGGCTACTTTCATGTATTATAATCTTGTTAAATAACAAAAAGCAACCAAGTACATGTGAAGATCAAATTGGCTTTATTAAATGGTTCATGAGGGCTCCTGGGTGGCTCAGTCAGTTAAGCATCTGCATTGGGCTCAGGTCATGATCCCAGGGTCCTGGGATCAAGTACTACATTGGGCTCCCTGCTCAACAAGGAGTCTGCTTCTCTCTCTTCCTATGCCCCTCCCCTGGCTCGTGCTCTCTCTCCCTCTCTCAAAAATAAATAAATAAAACCTTTTAAAAATGTTCTCAAAGGGGCACCTGGATGGCTCAGTGTGTTAAAGCCTCTGCCTTCAGCTCAGGTCACGATCCCAGGGTCCTGGGATCAAGCTTGGGCTCTCTGCTCAGCGGGGAGCCTGCTTCCCCCTCTCCCTCTGCCTGTCTCTCTGCCTACTTGTGATCTCTGTCAAATAAATAAATAAAATCTTTTAAAAATGTTCTCAAGTATATAAAGACTTCATCAAGAATATGAAATAAACATGTTATTAAATAAGCAAATGAATGGTTCACGAATCCAGCAACACCCTCTCTAGCAAGTAGAGCAGCACTCTGAGAGGCCATACAAAACAAAATGGAAGGAAGGTTTCTTATGGATGGAGGATGGGGGGCAAGACAGAGCAAAAGAAAAGGATTGTTCCAAACAAGGGTGTTTGCTAGGGGAGAAGCAGCATGTCTTATCATGCAGATTACCTCATCTTTCCTTGGGGGATGGAGAGGACCTGGGTGATATGGAAAGAAACATGTTCCTGACTGACCGGTTAAGGCCCCATTTCTGGGGGAGGCTGAAACTGCAATTAGATCTGGTATTAAGCCCAGTTTGGCAACTTGGTCTACGTGACACCATTTGGGGACTGTGGTTTCCTTTTTTTTTTTTTTTAAAAAAAAAACAATGTTCTCAAGGTTCATCCATTTTGCAGCACATATCAATATTCCTTTCCTTTTTATTGTTAAATGATCTGCCATGGTACGGCTATACCATATTTTATCTATCCATTCCTAAGGACATTTGGGTTGTTTCCGCATTTTGGCTACTGTGAATAATGCTGCTCTGAACATTTGTGTGTCAGTTTTTCTATATGGATGTCTTTATTTCTTTTCGATCTGTCGCTGGGTCAAATAGTGACCGTGCAATCAACTTTTAATTAACAAGCATTTCTTTTGAACCTTATTCATTCCTATAGTCCCTGCTCCCCCACCACTTAAAAAGCAAGTAATACATGAGAGAATTCAGCATTACTTGAATGTCTGAAATCTTTCTGTGTAAGCTAGGCTGGATTTGTGCAATTTCTGAATAATTTTTTTTTTTTAAACCAGGCACTTACAGCTACAAAGCTTAACTAGAATATTGTGGTATTTGTTGGGACTGTGTTGTCACAGTTTTCTTTGAAAGTTTCTTCTTAATCTCCATGAGATGTATTCCAATATCTAAGATTTTTCTTTTCTGTCCTTATATTCCATATTGTTAAGATTTATTTTTTCAATTTATTATTATTATTAGTAGTAGTAGTAGTAGTACTATTTTGGTGGGCAGCAAAGTGAGGTTTATTGAACACTAGTAAAGTTTATTGAATGATAAAAATGAGTACAAAGCTTTAAGATTTCTTAAATGAAGTTTTATGATATTTAAGACATTTTTCAAGGGTTCATCTTCTTATATCATAGCTCGGGCAAGCTCTTCCTCACCTTGACTTTGATGGCCCCTTTCCTGGGAAGCCTTCCCTGCACGTCTTTCACTCCCAGCAATTTTTACAAACGTCTATCATGGCTTCTCCCCCAGCACATTATGCTTATATGGCCACCTGTCTAAATGATTCCACTGGTGTCATCCCCCTGCCACTTGGCCGGGCTGAATTTTCCTGACTCCTTAAAGGAAACTGGGCTGTTTGTGTGTCACTCCGAGAAACCCATGGGAAGTTTGCGTCTCCTGGCCACACTGGTGGGACCGGTTTCAAATTGCCAGGGCTCCCTGGCAGGCAACGCCCCATACAAAGGCCTTTCATTGCAGGGCTGGAGCTGTTCAAACCTGTAGCTTTCCCTGGTGGGTCCCTGGGGCAACATTCATGCAACTGCAGTCCCAAGACACAGGGGGAAGAGGGAGATCACGAACAGTGAAGGATTAGCTCTGGTCATTTGTCTCTATCAGAGCCAACTGGAAAAGGGGTGGGGCAGAAAAATCATCCAGCTGATGTACACCTAAGAGAGAATCCCCCCCCCCCCCCCCCGCCCAGTTCCAATTCACTGCTCCCGGCCACTCTTTCCAAGCAGCCCCGGCCACTCTTTCCAAGCAGCCCCGGGGAAAGCTCAGGGGACGAGGTCTATCTCATCTGTGAACAGTGAGGAAATCTGGTGTATAAATGTCTCAGAGACAATGTGCTTTGGGGTTAATTTTGAATATGGAGCAGCTTCATGTCACTGAGTTCCTGAGCACCCATTTGTAAGGTGGAATATTTCTGGGTGGAGGCAGCGGCCGGCACAGAGGCATATCAAACGTACACC